ACCCAGCTTTCTAGATGAGGTTATTGATCTGTTTGCCAAGAAAAACAGAAGAATTGAGCTGAATTATAAACAATAAAGTAAGCATTAATTATATTCCAGGTTCACAACCCTGTCATTTGATGGCTATAAAATTGTATTGATAATTAGGTGTTATTTTAATATATTAGCTTAACTATATAAAACACATTAAACTATTAGCTACTTCCTTTTAAATAGAAGATAGAAACTATAGATTATCTAGAAAAAATTTATATACATGTATATAAAGTTGCTTCCCTGCTTTTGGTAGTCATGCTACGCCACTAGTGTTTTGGTTCGAATAAACGAAGTCTGCTACACAAGTTCAAAGGACATTTCACACTCAGTATCGCAAGGAACCTCCCAGTAGGCCTACAATTTACTCCTGTCATTTTCTATGGATAAATATTCATGTCACTTTTCAATATTCCTTGCACTGATAGTCTGCATATCCCTACTTCTGCTACAGACTTCTTTGTTTCTTCTGGGGCTTCCTTACAGCGTCAATGTTGTCCGAAGAACGCACAGATATATGCCGTCGATGTTCTCCCTCCAAACGTGAACCATTATAATACAACTGGTTACGAAATTGAATAATTATTTTGAAACAAGGCGCCCATCGCCTTTCAGAATAGGCACGAACTCGCCCCTATGTGACAACAACCCAAAATATTTCAGTAAAAAAGAAACACTGCTTTTATGCGTTTTTCTACAGACAGTTTTTATGTGCAAGGCCATCTTGTGTAAACTGGAGCATGATTACGAATAACGCGACACTAGCGCGCTCGGGAACAGTAAGGACTAATCTCCATGTTACAAAACACCGTTCATTGCGCTGTTGAATATTTATTATTAAATCAATGCTGGATAATTTCCAGCGCCTCCTATACCTGGGTCAGATTTCTAAATCTTTTTGCGGTAAAATAGTAAACATATATGTATCACCCCATAATCAGAATAAATTGCCCATCTGTAATTCAAAGGTTAATTCTAAGCCTAAGTAAAGGGTTCATTGGTAAGACAGCAGGTTATTCAAAGAATTCCAGTTTGTCGTTGTTAGTTGTCGCTGTCAGAAGTTTGTAGTTGAGGCCGCAGATACTTTGGCAAACCAGAGGAAGGCTATCTTCGCCGTTGCAAGCCGCTGCCAAGCAACCGATAGTGGATACTCTAACAGACTGAGAGCACGCGAATGTCAATCCAGTAAACATGTTTGGTATAAAACAAAATTCCTGCCCTCCCCAAATATAATTGCGTAAGTACACAACGTTACATCGCCAGCACATGCAATATTATTGACTTATTAAGGGCAAATATTTCCCCTGTCCATCTGCTACACGTATGTATCTTATGCATGTAAATGGGCACAAAAACAAATTGTCTGCTCAGGTGCTAAGATGCTGATGCAATTATTATTTCAGGGTGCCAACACAAAGAGGCATGACGAAAGGATTTCTTTACACATCTGTAACAAATCTGGTGATTCAGTGGTCCCACCCCCTCAGTGCGTCACGGCCGAAATGGGTCGCTTGACCTGCGGGACACCTGCTCAAACAGACGGGCGCCTATATAAGGCTGGGTTCCCTTCGTTTGTCAGCGGACTTCGCAATGGCTCGTTACGAGGTAAGTGCCAGAACACATTCAAACCGAAACTGGTATGGTGAAAGCTGGGCATTGCAGCCCATCGGAATGGCAAAAATATTTTATAGGTCTTTTGCTACTTATTTCTCTCTGCCTATTTGCCTGCCTTACGTTTCCACCCGGAACATGCAGGCAGTACGTTTCTTCCAGAATCTGGGCAACTTTACAAGACTACACGGCGTAACATCACCGCATTCAACTATGGATAACAGAAAACTGATTCCTGCAGAACTATTGTTGATATGTAGAGCGTTCATTAATAGTTATCTGAACATTTATGCAATCCAATACATGAAACTGATTTAGGAATTAAGACGTCAACGGCCGTATTCGTGACAGGGCCCACAATTCTAATAAGACGTGACAACGTCCTTTCATAAATTTCGATCTGTTTCGAGTGGCCGGGGGGGAGACGAGTCAGAGTTATTTGTGTCCTGGGGGCAAATTTTCAGTTTGCTTCTGCCCGGAAGGTCCTTTTAAAGCCTCTCTTACCCTGCGTCCCCTTCGCTTCACGCGGTAGAAATTATTGTCACAAACGACGCTCTGCAAGCCGAATCGTGATCGTGCAGCTTCTGTGTAACAGTTCACAGGCACATTCGAACATGGAGCGCTGTATGAGGGAGCGGCATTGTGGTCGGATTTTCAGCGCATTTTGCAGCGAGTTCAAGGCTGCGGTGTGCAATCCACGGTGAACCTTCCCTCTCACCAACGCATGGAACTTCTGTCATGCAGTAATCAGTTCTGTACTGTCAGCACCAAACTGTATATATTTCGCTAACTTTTCAGAGAAATTTTAGTTTTCTTTCACGAATTGTTCAGTCCTTAAAATATCTACGCGCTGAGAGATACTGAACAATCACAGGGTCAATTAATGACACAGAATGTGACGTCACTTTCCTCTGGTTTGCAGACACTCCTTGTGATCGCAACTATCGGCGTCGTGGCGCTCGCTCTACCGGCACAGAGGGACAATGGGGTAAAGCCAGCACATGGGCAACCTGCTTGGCCACCATATGGACCACCAGCTTTGCCACCTCATGGACAACCTGCTTGGCCACCATATGGACCACCTCCTTTGCCACCACATGCACCACCGGCTTTGCCACCATATGGACCACCTGCATTGCCGCCATATGGACCACCTGCATTGCCACCACATGGACCACCTGCATTGCCGCCATATGGACCACCTGCTTTGCCACCATATAAACCCCCTGCTTCGCCACCATATGGACCACCAGCTTCTCCACCATATGGACCACCATTTTTCCCGCCACCATTTGGACCACCTATTTTCCCACCATTTGTGCCACCGTTTATACCACCCTTTTGGCCACCATTCCCTCCAATACCTCCTCGTCCGCCCACTGAGAAACCTTCAGAGAAACCCAGCGAGGAACCCACCGAGGAACCCTGCGAAGAAACCAGTGAGGAACCCTCCGAGAAACCCAGCGAGGAACCCACCGAGGAACCCTGCGAACCCAGCGAGGAACCCAGCGAAAAGCCCAGCGAGAGACCTAGCGAGAAACCAACTGAAAAACCCAGCGAGGAACCCACCGAGGAATCCTGCGAACCCAGCGAGGAACCCAGCGAAAAGCCCAGCGAGAGACCTAGCGAGAAACCAACTGAAAAACCCAGCGAGGAACCCACCGAGGAATCCTGCGAACCCAGCGAGGAACCCAGCGAAAAGCCCAGCGAGAGACCTAGCGAGAAACCAACTGAAAAACCCAGCGAGGAACCCACCGAGGAATCCTGCGAACCCAGCGAGGAACCCAGCGAAAAGCCCAGCGAGAGACCTAGCGAGAAACCAACTGAAAAACCCAGCGAGGAACCCACCGAGGAATCCTGCGAACCCAGCGAGGAACCCAGCGAAAAGCCCAGCGAGAGACCTAGCGAGAAACCAACTGAAAAACCCAGCGAGGAACCCACCNCACTAACTGACGTCCCTCCGGAAGTCCAACAGACTGGAGAACATATGCTGCAACCCTTGGGGGTCTGTTGTTTTTGTCGTTCGCTGTACGTCAACTTTAAAACCGTCTGTTACATTTTAAGAATGGAAATATATGTTGCATACTAGATATCGTGTTCTCATTTCTGCCCCCTCGCCCCCCCTTCAAACACAATATATTCATTTGTCCTCTGTAAATGCGTCCGACTCTACATTATGTATACATTCTTAAGCAGAGTTTTGCATTCCTTAATAGAATTTTAATGACTTCTTTTCCTCTAACTCGTCAGGCAGGGCTCACTCGTAATGCCGTTCAAACTTACATACTCCTCCCTTTCAGCTCTTCCGTCATTCTATTTTTACACTTTGCTTCCTCTTACATTTTACACTTCATTCTAAACCCGCAAGTCAATATAGCTTGGGTTCCCTCCCACATTCCATCCAAATTCCTAAGAAAAAGAATTGTAAAGCATTACCGCCATGTAACGGCCTTCCGTTCCTGCGCAACAGGACACACGATGTAGCGTGTATACGTCACACAAGTACACATGAACGAAAGAGTCGCTGGGCGAGTCGTCTTTATCGCGTGTGTATGTGTACGTGTGTATGTGTATGCATAGCATCCCTTATAGACAGTGAATAAGGTCCAAGCCACTCCAAACCACACTTTGTGCCTCTGTGTCACAATATATCGAATACTGCTGATAGGGGCACGCGATGGAGTAGTTTGTTGAGGAACTGTGCTACAGGCCACAAGGTCGTGCGTTCTATTCCCGACCACGATAACAGATTTTCAATTGACCTAATCCTTCTAACCACTTTATGGACACGCGGGTGACAAAATTACTCTCAGAAATCAGTTCCAGGAAGATTCCTGATGGGTAAAGGACGGCCGGCACGTAAGGCTGACAAACTCACCCCCATCTTTAAGACCACTCCCTAGTATACATAGGAGACTCGACGTCTCACAATCCTATGGGCCTCCATGGCCTGTAACAGGGATAAACAAATCACCACCGTGACAGTCAAATCCCTGAGTCTGTATTGGTCCGCCGTATGGTTCAAAATATTCATCCTCGTCTACGTTCTCAGTAGATGTTTGTTTCTGAACCCAAGTCTATGAAAGAATTATATTTGCTTCCGAGTCAAGTAGTCGAAGGACGGGTTATTGACGATCGAACGGAATTTTCCTAATGCCACTTTGACGTGTTTCGCGTCCCGTTAGTATAGCAGTTGGGGAGACCTCTCCGGCTGTTAGCCAGCCGTGCTATAAGATGCTGGAAGTGTTCCGGATTGGGTCAGGTTAGGAAGGATAGTCTAGAAAACAGGGAAACGAAAGAGGCACTCGGCACTGAAAGATGGTGCAGAGGTCCGAGCGCCTCAGAGTGAACAGCCTCGGTGCCGAGTCTCTCCTGTAATGGTAGCTGGTTTTAATCCTTCGGTTATGTTAACCATTAAGAACTATTGTTTGCCGGCCATTTTGGATTCGGTTTCCTCATTCTCTTTTATTAGACGAGATGTATTTCAATAGATCCAGACCCTAAGTTTGCCTTGTCTGGTACAAACGACGAACCGTACTGTTCACATGGCTAGTGGCCAGAGCTGTGTGATTAAAGAGGCCGTCTCGCTACAAATCAAACTTCATTTCTTTTCCTCGAAGTATACATTTCTAGTGTTTGCAATTCTTCCGTGCCGTGTATTTTGGCAACTTATTTTTTGTCATTTGCGAAATTGCGACTCGATTTTGCGATTTCCTCTTACACTTTCTCCTTTGAGCAATCTTGTCGTTATGATTTTGAGCCATTAGACTTTTCCATACAGCATTCTCATTTAATTTTTCCTTGTTCGGAAGAAGCCTTGAACAAGCTAGCGGCCTATACTTCGCCCTTGAGTTTTCTGACTCACGTAAACTTGAACATCTGCTACTAACGTTTCCGAAGCTGTTTTCTGACCAATTGTTTACGATAAAAGGATGGTACACAGCATGCCACTAACAAATACAGGACGATACCAAGGATCTCCTTCTCAAAATAGAGAGGGGGCACAAGTTCAGCCGCCGTCAAGAAGGACGATAGGAGAAGGGACACGACCCTACTTGGTTTATAAATTTTAACTAAAATAACAAAGTTTTAAAAACTTAAAAGCTGATTTATTTGTGGAAGTGTTGTATTTTATATATATTGTATATTACAAACATTGTATGTATATGTATTTTAACACTCAAAATACCCATTGTGATAATAGTTTCCAAAAAGTATCGATGTCCTTCTGATGATGGTCTATAGCAGACGTGTCTACTTTGCGGCCCCCATAGCCACAAAGTGCGGCCCCTCAACTTTTAGAGCTAATTGATATTAAAATCAATATTAAAATTTTAGTAAAAATATTTTTTGTAAACACAATTTTCCAACACACCAGAAGACAAGTAGTCTCACGCAGACTTAAATTAGCAGGCTGCAGGAAAAGTGATTCTGAGAATTGCAGAAGGGTTTGTCCAACTAATAGTTCGTAAAGTTCGTGAAGGACAAACTGTTGTATTTCAGAAGGTTAATGCACTAAAATCCACACAGCCTCACCACCCCAAGTATTTCCAAGAATCCCTTTTGGAGGCATAGTAGGAATGCAAGGAGGGTAGCAACTGACAGACAAGTGCAACGGATTTCTACCTTAAAAACTAGCTTGCAACCCCCAGCCATTGTCTAATGGGCTGCTAGCAAACTTTCACTTTTATGACCATTGAGACAAGATGCACCTTCCTACTAGTCCGGTAGTCTCTTGTACATTGTCATTCAGTTCATTTTCACACAGCGACAGGTGCTGATGTTACATTGTGATGAATGTATAAAGGTTATAATTAAACATTAAATTAAATACGAGTTTTCTTGTATATGTTTGTTTGATACTTATCAAAAATGGCATTTTTGCTTTTTAAAACTGTAAGATATGTGACTTTAGGTAATTATATTGAAATTATTCCTAAATAATAATTAGAATTAAATTTCCTTGTATCAAAATCTAATGTATATTTCTATTTTGAAGTG